TTCTGATTTGTTCTTGTGCTGGATAGGGCTTGTACCAATCATCGCGTGCAGTCGAATCGCGCGCCAAAGGGACAGTCCAACCTCTGACCCTTGAAGAATCAGTCAATCAACGACAGTCAATCAGTCACTGGAATCCAGCGTTTGAGATGATCCTCGATTTCATTCGGTCCGCTCCTGTCCTATTCCCCCCATCGAGCCCGGGATGATACCAGGTTACCTAGTGCTTTACCAGTTATCCCTGTGGACGCTCCTGCTGGCTGAAATGTCCTTGCAGCTGTCCAGCCGCCCTGCACCACCACCTTAATTGCAAACATACCGACCCATTGATGGATGAACGATGGCGATCAATCAGAATCCAGACTATGTGGACGATGATGAAGCTACATTCATGAGTTCTTATAAAGTACATCAGGTGGCCGCCTTCGCTGGATTCTTCACGCGGTCGTCCACATGCTCAGTCTCGCCATTTCTCTTTCCAGTCTGATCTTCCTTTCTTTTTACGCTTCTCTTGCAGTAGTAATCATTAATTGATTTGCTTTTGATTATTATAATCAGCCCTATCCACTTTCGCTGCATTTGCATTGTCTTGGTGTTACTTCACTGGGCTATACATTCACTCCATATCCACCTCCAGAGCCGACGTCTTCTCCGTCCGGATCGACGCTCAATACGAACTTCAAATCAAACTCGTTAAGCCAGTTTCGTACTCAGCTTGTCACTGAAGATCTATTTCAGGCTCAGCGCTGCTTTCCTGCTCCCAAGATCGCCAGTCCCAGAGCACTCCCGACAGGTTGACACGACAACCTTATCCTCTCTCTCAGCATTCCAGAACCACATTATTCCTGCTGGACGGGAATTTGATTCATTTTTAAAACATCGCTGTCCGTCCTGTGTCAGCTCGTCGCCAGAAATCTCCTTCTGTCCTTTTCCCCTATCTCTCGCTTTGCTTTTTTATTCCCTTGCCACCAGAGAGATACTCCGCCCCCAAACAAAGACCATTGTCAACATTCCTTTTCAGCTCTTCTCGCCCCATTCACTATCGGAAAGAGAACGAGCAAAATCAAGACAAATACGAGATACTACTTTTATCTCTTCAATTTTGGGTGTTGACGTTTCCCAATAATAGGCATCAACCTCGTCCTTGGGAGTAAGTATACTCTCTATACTCCCGTCGCTCACATCAACACAAACACCAACAATTACACCACCACCACAACAGCATCATCATGGATGCTCCTGTGGCTCTCAATCGAGCCGCTCTTAATGAGTTTGTCACCCGCCCGGTATCACGAGAGATGGTAGCCTATCTGGCTCAGCAAGCCTCCCTGGTCATCCGCTGCGAGTCGCATGTGACCTCTGCCGTTAGCCGTCATGGCCAGCCTACGCCCCCAAGCACGCCTCCACTGGATGGCTTGCCTCCGCTGCCATCACTCGAGACGTTCATCGTCTCGCTCGTCACTCGGTCTCAGGTGCAGGTTCCTACGCTGATGACCTCCTTGGTCTACCTGGCTCGACTGCGGGCCCGCTTGCCGCCTGTCGCCAAGGGCATGCGTTGCACTGTCCATCGGATCTTTCTTGCATCGCTCATCCTGGCTGCAAAGAACCTGAATGACTCGAGCCCAAAGAACAAGCATTGGGCCCGCTACACGGCCGTCAAGGGCTACGATGGCTTCTCCTTCTCGCTGCCAGAGGTGAACCTGATGGAACGCCAGTTGCTGTTTCTTCTCGACTGGGACACTCGGGTTACGGAAGACGACCTTTTCCTACATCTTGAGCCCTTCATAGCTCCTATTCGCCAGCAATTCGAGGCGCAAGAGCGCGAGGCAGAGCTGAGACGCCAGCAACTGCAACAGCAACAGCACTACCGCGAATGGCGCCGCCTCCATGCATCGGCAGAGCTCCTTGCTAGCCGTCTGCGTCGCCAGAAGGTCGAGGGCCGTGCAGACTCTCGCCGCAGCATGGTAGAGGGCGGCTCGCCTCGCAAGCGTCTTCCCAGCCACGTCTCCTCGTCCAGCCTGGGGGGCTCCCCGCAGTCCATCGACGGTGAGCGGTACACTCCCTACAATCCTCACCACCACCAGCGGCTTCGCACGTCACCATACCGGTCTGGCCGATCTATCTCTCCGCCATCCGTCAGCGATGTCCCCTGCCTCTCTCGCGCAGAGACTTTCAATTCATTGAGCTCCCGTTCCTCCAGTGTTGCTCCCAGCTCGCGCGGCACTCCAGCCAGCATCAGCACCTCCTGCTCTTCGACCAGCATGGACGAAGTCATCGTAGCGGAAGCTGTCAGCAGTCCTTCTACTTCCAGTCTGGGCTACAGCTATGTCAACATCCCCGCAATCCAGGCAGACGGAAAGCAGTCCTTTAACGACTTCCACGAACATCGTCACCCCCAGCAGCCCAACAAGAAGATGAGGACGGCCAGCAACAACGGCAGCACCGGCTTTGTCGCCCGATTCCTGGCTTCTGCCGCAGGCTACCACATGGGTGGTCGTCACGGGCGTGTCTAATTTTATTCTTTCTTCACCAATCAGTCGAGCAGGTCTCGACTCTATCAAGAAACCATAATCGGAAATACCCACTAGAGCTTCGTTCTCTCCTACTGTCGTTGTTCCCTTCTCACTTGCCTCCTTTCGTTTAAAATTCTCTATCGCTAGAATACCCAGTTTCCATCTCCTTCGTTACACTCATACCATACTTGACTTTCTGCATTGCATAATGGTTATGGTTATGGCTATGGTACGGCGTCATCTTTTGCATGTTATGGCTGGGATATGCCTCTCTTTTTCTTCTTCACATTTAGGATAACGCCACAAGAATAAACCCAATTAGACAGGATAGCTTTCTGACACTTGGCAAGCATGTATGTATGTTTATGTTTACTATGGTTGGCATGAAAGGGATGGATACCACGCAGTAGCCAGTACTTAATTAATATTCTGATTGATCCTGACTTATCAATGCCAGATGCTTATTCTGAACTGTACTTTAATTGAAAGTAGCGAGAAAAATTTGAAAAAGAAGCTTATACCCCCACTAGCCAAGCTCACCAGGTACATCAGTGCTTCTGGTACTCTTGATGATGTCCTTTGCAGGTCCACCCGAAACTCTTGCGCGTATGTGATTGCCTCTGGGTGGTCAGGGTGGACCGTGCCAATGATCCATGGTGATGCTTGATGCGTTTTGCTGATGATCAAGTTGATTATCAACTTATCCTTTGCGACATGGCCTTAGGCTTTTAAGTCTTCTGCAGTCAGTGGCCATGTGAAAATGGTATTATCTTCCAATTAATTGGTATGAACAGTATCATACTCCCAGTTCTGTTCCTCTGGCGTTTCGCCATTTCGCCATTTCCGCAGTGCGTCCTCCCTTTGTTGATATAGGCGGTTGTACATATCAACAGCACCTGTAATCTCCTCTCTGCCGTTCAGCGGCGTATTGCCATTGCCAGAGCCACGAACCGACCAGAAGTATCCCTTCGGAGTTAAATTATCTACCCGCAAATAGCCTTTTCCTCGTCGACGTCTTCGAGCTATTCCTTAAGTTGTTACTCCTTGTCAACTCGAACAAGGTAGACGAGATGTCCAACTAAGCGCTGTTTCTAACGATGCCGCAGTTTTGCCCTCGCTTGTGGGTGCAGATGGACCCTATTTCAGTTGTGACAGTCCAAGAAATCGGCTGGCTGCATATGTGCGTGCTGGTCTGCTGTCGCAGCATGTCCGCAAATCGCGAGGATAAGAGCGTGGATGTCGGTTGCGTCTTGGTAGGACGCTAGGTTTTTCTTTGCTGGACTGAGAGTTGGAGTTTTGTTGATACGGTTGGTATCTTGCGACGACGGGGTGGGGATTGGCTGGGAGAAGAAGGTATATTCGCCCATGTATTCTGGCTCTCAGCTACTCGACTGATTCCTGTGCCACAAGGATTTGAGTCGAGGATGAGGACGGAATTGTTCGTAAATTCTGTACTAAGATGAACATAAGATAACACGCTCTGCTCCAGATTCCCTTCCACTTTTCGAGAACGAGATTCCTTCAAAGTCATAAGCAGACCCATCAAAGCAGAGTGTCTTTCAACTTTAGCGCGTTCCTCATCACCATCATCAGTTTCCCTGGGGCTTGCCGTTGTTCTGGAGCGTTTCTCGACTTCGCCAGCAGGCCGAGCACTTGGAAAACCGTGTTGATGTTCAACGATGGCTCCATTAAGACGACGCGGTTGCACTGCCCGTGCAGATGAATGTCATGTGTAGATGTTGGGCAATCGGGCCATTGTCGTAGTTGCTGGGGTCTAACGCAGAGCATAGCAATGAGCAGAGCAGATCATGTCAAGTTGCATATGCAGTCTTCAATGGACCATCGTAACAGGGCTACGTAGTTCTGCGTGCATATAATTCCGATCCTGCGGGAGCCGAACAACCCTGGGGAGAAAGTTACTGCAAACTGAGCGTTTCTCCTCGTGAGCAGCCACCGTTGGCTTTTACAGGCTTGTAGTGGCCTCTATCCAGTGGACAACTCGGTCCACCTGGATTCAACCACGATGCTCGATGTTCGCTTCTCAATACCACGATGTGGGCACAAACCTCGACACTTGGTAGTCGTCTCAGGAAAGGAGACCGCTTCTTGCTGGCAAAATGGGTTTCCCGCTGCATCGCGGGCATAAAACTCTGCCTTGCCAGTGACTTCATTGGTTCTACCCTTCAGGATCAGGACTATTTTGACATGTGGACGACCTCCCATCATCCACAGTCTCATGTCCTCAACAAGCCACCTGTGTGACTCAGGCCAGCCAAGTTCCTTGATAGGTTGGTACTGGTTGTCTGGCGTCATACAAATGTCTGGGATCTTTCGTGAGTTTGTATAAGGCTCATGGAATCCATTGAATATAACCATAACCTGAATTTCAATGCGAGTAGGCTCTCGGTCCCAGGTGGACCGGCAGGGACGTATAGGCAGCGCAATAATGCATTAGTATGTTGCTCCCAGGTGGTATCTGACCTCCTTTTTTCACCCAGACTGATTCAACCTCAGGTTTATGCGGTTTGTCAACATGGCAGAGGTATCGACGGTCTCAACGCTGGTAGAAGGAGACTCTGTAACAAAAGCAGGGTTCTCTGGGACAGGAGTGGAAATGCTCGTAGTAGCAGCAGTATTCACAGGAGGGGTTGCAGCAACAGGACCAGCAACAGTACCAGCGACAGGACCAGTAACAGGATCAGCGACAGCATCAGCAACAGCATCGGCAACAGGAACCGGCAACAGGAACCGGCAACAGGATTGGCCGCAGCCGGAGCCGCGGCGGCGGGTTGGTGGAGGTGCTAAACATGTCAGTTCAACCTTCATTCAAATAGTAGGTTACTTACGTTGCGCATGCCACCTCCGTCACCACGACCGCCGCGAGCACGAGTCCGAGCTCTCGTTCTTTTATGCTGAAAGGCCTTAGTAAATACAGCAAGATGGACTAGTTGCAGCCATAACATACAGCAGACAGCACACCGTATAGCTGAAGTCCGGCTTGTACATGGATGCCGACTTCTACTGACGGGGGATCGGTTGGGAAAGCGGCCCCATACTGGCCACAGGTAGCACCGGTTGAATATTTGTAGGCCAGAGACTTTGGTGCAAGCGGGAGGCATGGGCGTGTCATGCATTATCGGTTCAATAAGTTTCCAGTTGTCGTAGACATGTTTCCTGTTCATATCAAAGCATTTCTCGACATGGTAGTCATAGACAAAACAGGGTTTCTTTTGTCCCAGCCAGTGACTCGTCCAATGGCGTCAACAAAACTCTTCCACGCTCCTTTGCAGCGGCTGCAGTAGTCCAGAAATCTGGCATCCGCAAGTCAGGCTTTGCGTCCCGTATTCAAACGACTCCAGCCGATTTGTTGCCGGTAGTCAGTTAAATGCATTAAGGGAGTCCGTCTAGACATGAGGTCCATACTCAAGCATCTAGCTGGCCATTGTCATCAGCTTCATTCAAGCTCTTGATGGCTCATGCGACGTAGGCCGTTGCTTGCAATCAAGTCAAGAACAGCCATAGGTTATGTCGGCGTAGACATATTATATGCCTTAAATCATAGCAATCAGCTATAGAAGCATCTGTAATTGGCCCTGTTGTACTGCAATTGGAAAAGAATGCAGATTCTATATAGAAGAGAGGTGGTTGGATATCAGGAAGATGGGGAATCATGGGGGAGAAGCATCTTTATATACCATCAGCCTGCCAGATTTTTGACCTTCTATTAAGTTCTAATCAAAGAAGGAGTGAATGGCAAGATGCCTCTTACTTCACTGACAAGTATCTTTGTCACTGTTCTGAGCTGCTGCCAGAGTGGTGTGAATATCTTCTACAGCCTTTATATTTAGTATCAAAAGCAAAGAAGACAATCGATAAGAGATAAAGCCGACGATAGCCTGATCGGCGATACCCAAACGGGACAATCTCCCAGAAATGGGGACGGAAGTCGCCGTTGACCACACAATGTAACGCTAGAAAGTGGGGAGAGAGAGGGGGGAGCCAAACAACATGGCCGTTTATTTCTCTTGTTCTGCTTCTCCTTCTGGGACCTGACTGCTGCAGTGATCTGCTCGAATTCTACTCTTAACTAGCCAAAGATGGGTGCAACCGACGTGCCACAGGCCCAAGCGGTCACAGTGAGTCTCCAGGAACTTGTCAATGGTGAGTGGATCGATCAATGAGCATGCTGCAAAGAAAGCTGCTGCTTCAGCGTAATGGAATCCGAAGCTGATACTTATTTTCATGGTCTTAGGCACGGTCTCTTTCGAAACCCTGACGGAAGCCTTTGGCCCATCCTCGCTGGGAATCATCGTCGTCAAAGATCTGGATGCGGCATTTACTCGCCTCCGCGCTCAGGTTCTCTCCAACGCTTCCTACCTCGCGGCGCTTCCAAACGATGAACTAGGTCCGTCCGACTTGCACCCTCGTATCTACAGACTCCAATTGACAGACAATAGAATCCCTCACCAGCCCCGCAGCCAAATACCTCGTCGGCTGGTCCTGCGGCAAAGAAACCCTCCGGTCCGGCCACTTCGACACCCTCAAAGGCTCCTACTACGTCAACTGCGCCTTCTACCAGAACCCCGACCTCCAAGGCGCCCCCGCAGACAACTTCCCAGATCTCTCCGAATACACTGCCCCCAACATCTGGCCACCAGCAGACCGTCTCCCGACCTTCCGCCGCAGCCTCGAGGAGCTCTGCACGCTCATCATCGACACGGCCGCGCTCGTCGCCCGCGCCTGCGACCGCTACGCCCTCGCCAACATCGACGGCTACAAGGAAGGATACCTCGAGCACGTGGTGAAGACCAGTCTGACGACTAAGGCCAGGCTGCTGCATTACTTCCCTACCGACCCTGCCGCGGCCGCTACCGCCGACGACGCAGAAGACGATGATGACTGGTGCGCGACACACCTCGACCACGGCTGTCTCACCGGTCTGACGTCCGCCATGTTCGTCGATGAGGCGGCTGATCCCCCTTCGTTGGCGGACGCCTCGACACCACTGACGGAACTGCCCCAGTCGCCGGACCCCAAGGCGGGCCTGTACATCCAGTCTCGCACGGGCCAGGTCGTCAAGGTGAATATCCCCAAGGACTGTCTGGCTTTCCAGACTGGGGAGGCGCTGCAGCTCATCACGCGCGGAAAGTTCCGTGCTGTGCCGCATTTCGTGAAGGGGGCCAGGCCGTCGGGTGGAGCGAGGATCGCTCGCAATACGTTGGCGGTGTTTACGCAGCCGAATCTGGAGGAAGAGGTAGAGCCTGGGAAGACCTTTGCGGAGTTTGCCAGGGAGGTGGTGAGTAGAACTTATTAGTTGTATATACAAGCCTTTTTGCCGCAGGTCACAAGATTGACCGGTGCAAAGGTACATACGGTAGGATCTTGTCGCAGTATATACCGTGTCAAGGCCGACAGGCCGTTATTTGTTTCAATCTCAATCTATCAAATAAATAGTACCAATCATTGGTATCTAGCCATCAAAGATCATGCTTTGGCCGCTTCGCCGTATGCTCATCGTTCCCAGGCGCGTAGTCTCCACCTTCCGTTTCCTCAGTCCCTCCTCGTAGGTCCTCCAAACGCAGAGTAAAATCCTCCTCATCCTCGGGCGACTCTTCCTCGCCTTCATCTTCAGTATTCAGTCGAGTCTGGACATTGCTCTCGTCCGCCGAGCTGACATTATTGCTCACGTCCGTAATGGCCGCCCCCAGACCAGTGCTAACCAGCTTGCTCGTCTTGCGCACCTCCCCAAACGCTGATCGCGCTTTGTGGCTCGGTCGACCGAGCTCGCCCGGGATCTTGGCCTCTCTGAAATCAGCCGCAGTGGCCCTGCCGTCGATGACCTTGAGATTGGCCCGCCACATCTTCACATCGCGGATTTCACTGTAATGGCCGACGTCTTCGCCGTTCAGCGTCTCGACCGCCAGAGTTTGCGTTCTGAAGTCGCCCCAGAACCAGTCTTTGCCTTCCGGGATGCGCTCATCCGCTTGCCGAGAGTACTCTCGTCCGCTCAGCACGCCGTGCAGATCCCGGCCCAGTGAGAGACTACCAAACAGTAGCCGCATGGCATCGGGTTCGTAGCACCGCCCGATGACCATCCCCTGGGAGATATCTACCGTCTTACCGCCGTTGAGACTGTACCAGTCGCCGTACCCGCTCATGCCGATGTACTGGAAGACGCTGAGAACTTCTTCGGGAGATAGCGGCTTGGGCGGATGCATCGGGTTCCCTATCGCCGCTCGCTGGCGGTTATTTGTGTAGACTTTGCCTCCAATGCGCACCTGATATCTCTCTGCGAGCTGGTCTGATTTGATGTCATCAGTGCATTGGATTAAATCGAGCCGGATCTCGTCGATCACCATGACGTCCGTAACTGCTTTTTGGCCGCTACTGAGCGAATAGCCCACCGGTTTCAAGCGAACGGCATCTCCTACAATGAGAAGTTCCGCCCCAATGAATATGCCCATACAGTAGATGGAGGCATTCGGCCACCTTCCTCGAAAATGAAATTTCTCAAGCAGGCTGAATGACGACATAACGGTCATGGCGTACTCGATTGAAGGATGCAATTCATCCCGGGGCATATTCTGCAAAAAGAGCTCGAACGCATTGAATGGCTTGATACATTTCAAGTGAATGTACTTGTACTGCAGTGAGTAGCTCTTGTCCGGGCTGTTGGGATCGGGGAACGTCTCGACACGGAACCCAGAATAATTCACTGCCCACCCCTTATCAGCCGTCTCGACTAGATCCTGCAGCACCGTGTCTTCCTCTGGGACCTGGCCGACGATACCCGCTCGCCACTCAGGAACACCCATGAACCGATCAAGCGCCGGGTCGTACATCTCAACGCGCGTGTGTTCTGGGTTCCAGGCCAACTCGCCCTCAAAATTAGGAACCCAGAGCACAATTTCACCAGCACGAGGAACATAGGAAKGCTGCATTGTTATTTTTTGCAGATACTCCCCCAGGCCAGGTCTTTCAGACTTCCAGTCCATGCTTAAAGGTTCTGAGATGGGCTCATCTAATTCATCCCTATCCTTGAGTTTCATTACGGCCATCTTGAAGACGTCTGGTGTCCCTTCCCGGTCAACGATAGGGTTCAACGGTGGCCTTCCGGGCGGCCGGCCCAGTCGACCAAGCGGCCTTCCAGGAGGTCGACCAGGTGGTCTCCCTGGCGGTCTACCAGGTTTCCCGGGACCAGGAGTACTGAGTGACCCGGTTGGTCGCCCTGGACCTCTTGCGGGCAGGCCATCTATGAGAGACTGTCAGTTCTAACGGTACTTGCGAGCGAGTAACACCAGGAAAACAACCTTTGATCCGCTGATTCCTCTTTGCCAATTTCTCGCAAAGAACGCAGGGGCACGGTTCTTTCCCGCCCTTCATCAGGTATAAAAAGTGTGGAAAGAACTGGATTGTTGAAGGGAAGTACTGCCCAAGTGGGTGTCCCCAGAGGAACCGGTCACGCTGTGCCGTCGATCAGTATGTAGCTCTGAAATAAAAAGCCTTCAGTAGCAAGACCTACGATGTCTGGATTTGTCCCACGCGGTCTGTCAAAGACGGCATAGCCTTCTGGCAGACTGTCTATGACATAATTTGCTCCTTGGTTCATGGTTAGTAAAATTCTTGGACTCTACTTGATATGAAGCACAGAAGAACAAAGAAAGGAGACAACTCGCGAATGGCCATTAGTGTTGGCTAGATTCCTACAACGAATCCAATTGACTGCTCGCGACCCGTCCATATCCGATGAAGAAATTGAACAAGATGTTGAGATAAAATGGTTCATGAATTGATTCCAAGCAAGCATTGAATCCTCTTACTCGGACAAGTACTCCTGCAACGCCAGAAGCAGACAACACGGAACTTCGAGCGTAGTACAGAAGAAAAATCAAATCCGATCCTCAACGAGAACAATAATGCGAATGAAGAATTAGAAATCAGTACGTACCCTCTTCATAAGCCCCTGTCTCCTTCAGCCACATGATGGCCAGCTTCTCACGATACCA